TGTGCTGTATATTGATAGTGGCAGGCAGCGAGCGCTGCGCACCTAGAGCCAAGCCACAATCATAGCCAAAGTAATCAGCGAATGTGTAGAAAGAGCAAGAGGCAGAGCTAGAGCCAGAGCCAGAGCCAAGTCAGACCCAGAGCTAAAGCCAATGCTAAAGCCAAAGCCAAAGCCAAAGCCGAGCCATTTCAGCGTGACAATCAATTGATTTCCCATGCGGGAAGCAGGAAAAAATAATATTTTTTCTCCTTCTACTTTTTCTATATTTTCATTTTTTTTTTTTTTTTTTTTTTTTTTTTGGTTTTTTTTTGTGAGCGTTTTTAAGCTCGCCTTTAACCACTGCAGCACTTTTGGCATTCCTGTCAGGCTAGCTGCAATTGCTGATCAATAAATCATTCGCAGTTCGCCATTCGCTGCTTATTTAAAAGGGCCAACCGAAAGGGTTCAAATGAAAAGGAATTGCAAATAATGTCGACTGCTTTTTTTCATCGACAATTCCATTTGATTGATTATATTTTGTAATTTTTTGCAATTTGTCCATTTAATTGGCGCTTTAAACTCTATATTAAAGTGCGGAAAATGTTGCAATACCACAATACAATTTTTTATGGTTTGTGTCCCATCTAAACATAAAAGCATTGCATACTTTTGGGAGTGCATTAAAATGAGATGCCAAAACAAAGAGTATCTCATTTTGGAATGTTTTCAATTCAAATTTAACCAACTGCCATAAATCACAGCGTACTCGCAGCTCGCATGGCGTATGAGTGATTTATTAAACGATTTTCAAAAAATTCCATTTAAATTGATTTCATTGTTGTCTGGACTGCATAATAAACTAAACTAGCCGCTGCTGCTGCGCTACTGCCTCTGCCTCTGCTGCAGCCAGAGCAGAAGAAGGAGCCGCAAGGACCTGGCTGGGCAAGGACAACGATGTGAACGAAGTTGAACATGGTCAGGGACCAGCAGCAGCTGCCGCAGCGACCAGCAAGCAGCGGTCATAAGCGGTTAAATGAGTTGCCTGTGTGTGTGTGTGTGTGCATCTGTATGTAAGTGTGTGTGTGTGTGTGTGTGTGCCAATATCGACCACATGTGGTTAAATTATGGCCAGCAGAAGTGTTCACAATGTCAGCAGCCCTAGGGATGCCGTTAGCTGACCGCTGCCCTCTGGCCCATATGGCTTCGACTGTTGGCCAGTGCAATGTGTTTTCGACACATTTATTTTACAATTCTTACAGCTTTACAGGAAATCAATAAAGCATATTTCAAAGCGCCAAGCAATTGCGCTCAGCTCTGGGCTGCCACTGACGCATGGCTGTGGCCATTCGCCACTACCCTTCACACATTTTGCTACCCCTAAACCAACCCTAATCAAGTTGCAATTCCAGATCGGGCAGCCCAAGTGGGTCAACTCAGATCCCACTCTGCCCCATAATGAGCATTCATTGGGCCACTCAGTCAGCGGCTTTTAGAGGACTCCTTGGGCCCATTGATCAGGCATTGCTGTGGTCAGGCTTCAGTTTGGTGTCAGCAACGGGCTGCTGACTACGACAACTCGGCCAATTACGCAGAGGGCCAGCAGGGCAGCTCTAATTGGAGTCGGCTTCATGCGAGCGGAACGGCATTCGATAGCACATTGATTGAAGATGCGGCACGTGCACTGCCACACCACTGCACCAGTGGCAATTTTTGTGGTTTGGCGGCGGCAAGCCAGTTAACTCGAATGTCCATTAGCAGGCTAAACTGTCAAGGAGCGACCTCCCTTCGCCCACTGCAGTGCACTGGGTGGCTCTGGGTAATATTTACTCGAGTCAAAATTAATTATAAAACATGTTCTCTCTCTCTCTCTCTCTCTCTCTCGCTCTCTTTTTGTTGTTGTTGCAACATGAAGGGCTGTCACAAAAAGCTGCTGACTTCGCGCTGGGCGTTTGCTCAGCGCACTTTCAATTAAGCCTGTAGCTGGCGAAATCATTTTAATTTCATCAGCCACACGAAAAAGGTGTCAAAACGTAAGCCACGCTGCGGATGCGTGCCATTGACAAGCCAGCATTTTTGTATTTACACTCTTTTGCCTGTCCAACCCAGTGGACCCCACGGCGTATGCTTAACACATACGCAATGCCTGCATAAAAAGTATATAGAAAATGCTTGTTAATGAAAATGCAGTTTTCAATTAAATTTAACACGCCCACTGCTCGCACAAACTTTTATTCAATTAATAGAAATTCCTCAAGCTAGCTAGACCGCACACAGAGCTGCGGACAAGGGACAGCGGACAGCAGAGAGCGGACAATGGACGGACATTTTTGTGGTCAATTAACCGCAGCGCACGCTGCGGCTTAGATACTCTGCGCCAGCTCCTGGTCAGCAGAGATGTGGGCAAAGTTGGCTAGTTGGCTCTTTGGCTCGCTGGCCCCGTTTAGAACGGGACGTATGTAGCGTGTCCGGCCGTTGGGCGACTTCATTTAAGCAGAGTCAACCGCTCCATAAAGCGTTTATTTTAACACACTGAAAGTTTCATTTGCGCTCGTCGCTCCAATTTCGTGCTGGTTTCCTGGTAATTGTTTTAAGTTGCATTTATTTAAACTTTTTACGTTTCTCTCTACGAAAACGCACCCGCGCTCCGGGCACGGATAACTTTGCCAGCTTGTTGAGAAAGTTTTTAATGCTATTTCGCTTCGTTCTTTTTTTCGCTTTTTCGTTTTTTCGTTTTTTACTGTATGTTGTTAATTTTATTAAAGTTTGCCTTATCACTTTTTCGTCGACTGCAACCTGCACCGCCATGCACAAAGACCGCAAAGCACACAAAAAAAGGAAATGGTAAAATTAAAAAGAGGGAAGAAATTCACCTTTTGTTAAGTGATGCCAAAAGTATCGCAACTTGAGAGTTTCAGAACTGCTTCGCTTCGCTTTGCACTCAATAAATTATGGAATATGTGGGCAATATTCATCGTGTTTGATATATAGATACTATAAACTGCTAGCTACAAGAGCTTAAAAACAAAATATTTTCGTATAGTCTCAAATATTTTATACTCAAATTCGTAAAGAATTTTTTCTAAGCAAGCTGAACTACAAATTTATTTTTATTTTATTATATTTTTGTATATGATAATCTTCTTGGCTAACTTTAAAATTTGTTCTTTTAACATTTCAAATTTTAAATCTCATAAATAGGTCACTCAGCTGTCTTGCATTGGGACATTTATGTGCACAAATACACTCGCATTTGTCTAGTTGGACGCAGTAAAATATATAAAACAGCTCCCTGGTGGCACATCTGTGTATACATGAGAAGAGAAAGAGACACAGAGAGAGAGAGAGCGAGAGAGAGAGAAAGAGGGGCAGAGTGGAAAGAAGCGAGCTAAAGATATAGAATATATAATCTAGTAGGAATACAGAATGGCAGACAGAGACAACAACAACAACAACAACATTATAATAATAAACTGACAGCATGAGCTTTACATTGTTTTCATTTAGATTTGGATTTAGATAGATTGTGGCTGGCCTTAAATATGTGGCAACATTAGCATATGCCTCCGTGTTGCACTCCAAGCACAAGAAACGGGGCGGTATATGAGCGAGTGAGCAGGGCGCGTTAAACCCTTAACGGTTGACATCTTAAGCCCACTTGCCTTGACTCTCCATCCCCTCTCTCACTCTGTCTCTCTCTCTTTGCCACTCTGTCTCTGTCTACGACTCTTGACTTGCCATTCAACTCTCATATTTATGCGCACTTTGTGGCAAATATTTTTCTATGCCTCCTCCGCTCTTGTTGTTTCTATTTTCAACCCACACACACACACACACACACACTCATATACTTATATATTGCTTCGTATTGATTTTCGCTGGAGCTCCACTCGGGTGCCCAAAAGTATGCTATACAACTCGCATACAGCATACAGCATACATCATATACAATATGTGCATTTTATGCGCTTTGATATTTTATACAACCGCCCACTCAACGAGTTATATACACACACACATACACACACACACACACACACACACATGTACACATGTACAGCACATGGCTATCCATTGTTTGCACACTCTGTGACATTTTTATGCGGCCAAACTTTGTTGCATCAAATTTACGGTGCGTATGAGTAACGACAGCCGTTGCCAGCCGCCCCGTCACATTTGTGGCAAATATTTTGTTGTTATATTCATGTTGTTGCTGTTGTTCTGCAATCCAAACGATATGTGTCGTAAAAAACACACTTGCATTTATTAGCCATCAGCCAGAGCCCACCCAACCACAGCCACAAACCCCTCGAGCCCACAAACCCACAAACTGTCAAGCCAAAAAAAAAAAAACAACAAAAAAACCCCAAATTGTGCGGAGTAAAATAACAATGCGAAAGCAAAAGCCATTCAACACTTTCAAAAGTATTTGTTTTTTCTTTTTCGGTGTTTGTGGGTTGTTTTTCTCGGCTTCATGTGAGCATAAGAAAATGTAATTGAATAATATATTAAGGACTTGAGTGCGGCTGAGGGATGCAGCAGTCCACGGACAATTTAACCGAATAACTAATGAATGTTTATTTAAATTTTAAGAGTCGTTCAATGGGTATGCCCTGACTCAACTGCAGAAATTACAAATTCTAATTTTTTTTCTCCTCTTTTTGCCTCTTAATGATTCCATTCAAGAGCTCTCTCCGCTGGCACTGATTTGATTTCCTTCACAAAGTTTGAGCACCTTTTCGCATTGCAAAACATAATTGCACGCACACACACACAAAGAAAAAACCAAATTTCGTGGAGCTGGCGCTGCTCAGGCTAAAACAAATTGGATGCCATACAAATTACAGTAAAAGTCACGAGCGTTCGCACCGGGCCTCAATTGAAATGCTCATGAGATGCTTCAGCCGCGAGTCAGAACAAATTTATGAAAATGTAACACGCAGCGCGAAATGTGCGGGGGGGGGGGGGGGGGGGGGGGGGGGGTGGGTGGTAAACGGAGTTAGCATTATCGCTGGCTGACTTACCGTCATGTACTCGTCCAAACGATGCTTCCAATTGTCAGATCTATCGATTAGATTGTTCCACTGCTCCGAAAGTTTGCCCACCTCGCGCCGTATGCTGCGCGCCAGTTCCCGGCTCTGCTCCTCGGCGGACATGTAACGCGAGTCGGAGTCGTGGGCGGCTGCAAGGAGACAAAAGCCAAAAAATCAAAAAGTCGAAAAGTGTGTGAAAAAAAAAAGAGCCAAAAAAATTATAAAAAAATTGTCGGCAGACAAAAACAATTGCAAGTGCTATCATATTCGGATGGGGCCCGCCCCCGCCCGCCCACTCGACTGACAGCACGTAACTTTATGAATTAGAGATGATATTACGGTTCCAAGTGTTTACCGACAGCCATGATTATGCTGACGATGCCGAACGGCGCCCAACGTTGATTATGCTGATTGCGAGCGGTGATTAAATTTGCAATAAAATAATCTCAGCTCGGCTTTGGGCACATCGGGGCAGGAGATACGCTCATGGGACAGCTCAACTTTAACCCCCGGAGAGTTGGCTTTCAATCAAATTAGCAGTTTATGGTTCCGCTTGAAAGAGACTCGCAGAGCAGTCAGGCCTGGATAATGATGAGCACTCTCAATGGCTTATCATATATTTAAATTATCGCTTAGCCTACTTAATAGTGCCAGGTCAAAGGCAAGCAGTTTAAGCCATATCCTATACCAAATTGACAGGGAAAAACCAGAAAAGAAAACATAATGGAAATGTCATGAGACATGAGAGACAGGCTGACGTGCATGTGGCGGAAATGCAAGAGAGAGCGAGAGAGAGGGCGAGCGGAGTGAGAATGAGAGTGACAAGTGGCAGGCGAGGCTAGAAGAAAATCAATCCCCAGAGCTGAGAGAGAGAGAGACAAGGACAGCGGCTTCTGCGACTGAGCATCGATGAATGTCAGAGCCGTTGGCTAAATCTGAATTTAATTTAATGCACGAACGGAGCCGGAGAACAACTTTTATGGCCCAGCGCCGGCGGCACTGCTGACTGGATGGCCAGTCGTCATCTGCTAATATGATGCTAAGCAAATATCGGGCATGGAGAAATACTTTGAGGAAGCGCCCGCCAGCAGCGGAACTGTTGTAATATTCAAATTCAATTTGAGATTGAGTTTATCTCGCATAGATGTTTTCTGCTCTTTCCGCGCTTCACTGCCTGACGCCAGCGACAGCGACAGCCACAGCGCCAGGAGATTGTTGATGGAAATGGCAGATGCGTCTGAAGACGGACTTCTCTCGATGGAGATGAACGTCGGCAAAACTTTTCGCTTTGCCGTTGATTTCGTTTTCATTGCGACTTTTTTTTTCTTCTTCTTCACCATTTTTCCAAACAAATTCAATTTGGTCAAATGCAAAAGAGAAAGGAAACTTTAAATTTCAATTTGAATGCTGAGCTGCAACCAATGTAGGTTAAAAGCAAAAGTATTTTTAGCATTTCAATTAAAAGGGTCAAATAACAAGCAAAAAAAAAAAGGAGAGTAAAAACCTAAAAAAAAATAGAAAAATAAAACTGGGCTTGTGTAGGAGCTGTGAGGAATTCAACCTGTTTGCTGTCAAAGCAAAATAAAAGTGTAACAAAGAGATGAGCCGGGGTAAAACAAAAACTAAATTAATTAGTTTAGTAAGAGTCAAAGAGTGAACTTTAGATGAGATGTTGTCTCTATATGAAACACATTTGTCTTTCTAGTCTAAGTGTTACACCAATTTGGCCATCACTGTACAGCATAGACTGGGAAAGTTGGCTAAAATAATGTGAAAAACTAAATTAATTAGTCTAATGAGAATCAAAGCTTTGTAACGAGATGTTGTCTATACATTTATGAAAGACTTTTCTATTTATGATCTAAATGTCTCACTTATTTGGACATCACTGTATAAGCAGAACATAGATTGATATAAATGACATCATTTATACATATAAAATAATATGAAAAACTAATTGAATTAGTCTAATAAAAGTTCAAGGAATCTACTTAATATTGACTTTACTAATTCTAGCCAAGCTGTCTTATTTATTTGGTCATCACTGTATAGAAGAGAATAGCATGGCCCGAGTAAATTTAATGAGTTTAATAGGAGTTAAAGACTAAACTTAATAAAAAGATATTCTCTATATATGCCAGATTTTCTTTTTCTAGTCAAGCTGTCTCATTTATTTGGCCATCACTGTATAAACAGAACAAAATGTTGTCTAGAATGACATGAACAAGTCAATTAACTAGTCTAATAGCAAACAATGAGAAAACTTGAAGCACAGATATTTTACTCTGCATACAGTTTCACTTATCTAGTTATCACTGAAGTCTGATATAAAGTCTCCTATGATGATATGAATTTAAGCCTCAATTGGATTTGTCTGGAAATATCACGTGTCCTCTTCAGGTCTCTCGCTCTTGTATTCAATGCTGCTCGACTGCTCTAATAGGCTATATAAATATGTATTTTCTAATTGAAATTTGGCAAATATTTAATTGGGCTAAACAAATTAATGAGATTTTGGCTAAAGGGGAAGGATTTAATTTAATTTGAGCGCCAGTTTATGCTGCTTGTGCAGTGATACGGCCTGCCGATAGCCGCAGAATAAACATGAATGGTTAAATTTAAATGCCAGCTAAAAGCACAGATTCTGTAGCCACACACACACACACACACACACACACAAATGCCAAACTTAATGGCACACACACACTCATACACACTGAGAGAGATACAGTTTTGGGGGCAACTGTTGATGGTTTGGCACTAATAGCGCACTAATCGCACTAATTGCTTTGGCTGCAATTATCGTTGACGCCTCCTCGGGGCAGTGGGCGTGGCCATTGGTGATCTGTCGCCATTGTGCGCATGCTGGAAACGAACAGCACCAACTAAGCCAATGGTCATTTGCTAAATTGTTGGCTGTAGTTGAAAAGGAGCTAAGCCCACAGCAAAACAAGAAAAAAAATAGGAGAAATAAAAACAAAACCCGAAAAAAAAACATTCGCAATGAAACAAAATCAATTGGTGATTCCGAACCAGCCACAGCACAGAGTTCTCTACATTTAGGCGTCTCACGTGCACAAAACTCTCTCTCTCTCACTCTCACTCCCTCTCTTTCTGTGTGTGTGTGTTGGTCAGCACCGTTAAGCCTCTGCGGGCAGAGCTCAATGGAGTTCTTAGTTGTACATGTTGTGTCGATGTTTGATTTTGAGATTTGCCATACAAATTGCAAATGCAATGAGCAGGCAATTGTTGAATCCCGATGAGTTCTCAACTGCCTGAATTTGAGTTGAGTTGGGCTAAGCCGATTGCCGTTGATGATACTTCAGGCAGCGAGCGCACAGCGTTCGTTCGCTTTAAATAGTTGAGAATTCATGGTCAGTTTAGTGGTCAAAGTTTTATGGAGGTTTGTCTATCTGCTGCCCCCCCCCATGCATAATAATATAATGGTTGGCCGTAAAACTTACCCTCGGTATCGCTGGTATCCGAAACGGGCGTCTCGCTGGCTATATACTGACGACCGCTCGTTAAATTGCTCTCAACAATTGGGCGTTTATCCTCCAGCTGACGGCGAAAAGCTTTATGATCATCCTGCAAGGCGAAAAAATGAAAATGAGATTTTCTTGTAGTGCTTCGTGTTTATTCGTTTTCACGTACAAAATATACATATATATATTCATATTATTCTACTATTATTTCTGTCAAAGATTTATTTATTTTGGCCACAAATAATCATAGCGAGCAATGCCACTTGGCCAGCCATAAACTATTTGGCTGCAATTGCTTTCCAAATGAGAGAGGGAAATACACAGACGGAAATATATTAATCTATATATAGCGAGCGCACTTCATGGAAGCCCAGCTCGGCGTGAAGAGGCTCACAATAAATTTCGTGTTTAATGCATTTAGTGTTGGAATAAAAAATGCAACAATGCGGCCAAAGGGCACGCCAAGTGCTGGCGAATCAAATGAAAGGCAATGCGAAATACAAGCCGAATTCCTTTTCGAGTGAGTTGGAGCCGCAACTCAAGACTGGGCCCCACTCCAGCTCCACTCCATGCCGCACCAGCAGCCGAAATGTAAATGTCCGGCAGACCGTAACTTAGTGGCAGGCAATAGATTTCCACAGCCTGCTCCTGCTGCCCAGGGTGAAAGTTGCCTCATTTTTTTCATCCTTTCAGATCCCAGCGGGTGTTTGTGTGGGTGTATGTGTGTGTGTGTGTGCTGGGGGTAAGTGAAATTCAAGTGGCGCACGCTGTGTTAGACAGTGTTTCCCCATTTTCAACTGGCCTGGCCAAGTCCTGCCTCTACTGCTGGCTGCTGCTACTCCTGCTCCTGCTGCTGCTGCTGCTGCTACTGCTGCTGCTTTTTTCTACCCGCCTTAAGTGATTTCCGGCATACATATGTGTACATATGTGTACGTACTCGTGTGTGTGAGTGCGAATGCTTCTGACATAACAAGCATCATTTAACAATTATTTAAGAATTCGCAGCCAGAGCAGCAGTTTAGCCCCAAGTGGGACTTTCAATTCAACTACGCCATTCGGTCAAGTTGGGCAGTTAAGATACGCTGTGGCACTCGACTCTGAGCAGAATCGAAGGCAGAGCCGAAAAAAAAAAAAACATCAAAATAAAATAAAAATCCATGAGCTGGCAATAAAAAACATTGACACAGGCTCAGCCGAAATCTCATGCGAAGTCCTTAAATTATATTAGATAAATTTTAATTTCGATAAACGTTTCTATTTTATAAACAGACCGCATCATATCATATTAATATCGTGGAATTTCGCATATTGCGCATACGCACAGCAGGCCTGAGCCCCAATGTTCGTGTGCAACAAATTTCAATTATAAAATTCGTAATCAATTCAATGCACAAATATGTCGACAATAAAACTAAATGCGCTTGGGTCAATTTACTATGATAATACGCTAGCGATGCTAGTGTCAAACTGAATGTGTAACTATGTAAGCCGTGTCAAGTGCGGATTTGCAATTATTTCAACTGCGTTTGGACAAAGCGTGAATCCGATTTGCCTGACATATATATAATTATGCCTAAATATTTGCTCGAAATATGCCCAGCACACAAAATGGGCTTGCCAACCACTTTATGCGCCATTAAATCACAGAGACCCTTCACACACACACACACACACACACGCAGAGAGGGGGGAGGGGGACATGTACAGTCGAAAAATTACAAATTGCGGCTGAGAATGGCACTAAAAATGCCAGCATACCGCACTTGACTGTGCCAAAGCCTTCCACACAATTAGTTGGGCCGAGCAAATTGAGGTGCAGCCAGGGCTCTGCAAAAAGGTTCAAATTGGGTCGTTGGCAGCACACACACACACACACACACACACACACACACACACACACACACACACACACACAAGCACCGAGGGTAAAAGGACAGCAAAAGCCAACAAACAAGCTCATGATGAGCAGCGACTGCAGAGTGAACTTTGCGCTCGTCCTTATTGAGGGCATGCTTATTGCAAGTACTCTAGATATTCACTGAGAGCCTTCAGAGAGCGAACCAACTGGCTTCGCGCTGAGTGCAACACCTAGCAACGCATTTACTTTAATACTACAACTAATTAGTTAATTATTCTATAATTCGCAATTAGGCCATGTAATACTTTTCAGCGTAGACCCAAATACATTAAGGCCAACTTATGTTTGTGTGGAGTCAAGACTTTTGAGGGCAACAGAATGTGGTGTGCATAGTGCTTTAAAATATATATTAACAATAAATATGATTATAGTTGCTACGATTATAACGATGCTCAAGGGGCCGTCTTTACATCCGATAAACGCTATAGCCATATACTAAGTTCACTCTTATAAGTTTGTCGGGGAAGCAGAATTTGCATCATTAGCTAATGGACGCTATAAGCGTAGTTGTTATAGCCGCAGTCTACTGTACTAATATTTATGGTTGTAGGTAATGAATAATCCGTAAAGAAGCCCGTGCTTTCTCCGTTAGAGGGTTAAAGTCATTATATACAATTGTTATATATATGTATATTTTTTTATACATATTTATATTCACGAGAAAGCAAACTTAGATGTTCACAAGTTTATATATTGAGATATAATATATTTGATGTGGTTACATATGTTAAATATATAAGCATATGTTTATATATAAGATATATGTGTGTATGCATGTTATGTATATACATATAACGTTTTTTGTACGTTGTTGAAAAATAAATAAAAATATATATATATTAAATTTAAACATATTTAATAAATATAAATGTTAAATTCATTCGTTGATTGACGGATTGCTCTATATAATATTTGCTTAATTAGTTATACAATAGAAAAACTGAATGACTTTACAGACCTATCGACTGACTCATTGATTGCCTAACTGATTGACTGACTGAATGATAATTCAGCTGAGGTTCAGATTGATTGACAGACAATTGATTTTTTGATATACGAATTGTCTGAATAATGTATTTGTATTAATTAACAAGCCCATGCTTCAATCAATCTGTCAATTAATCAAAGACAATATTAACTGACTGAGCGAACATATCCATGCTTAAGAGACTGATTGATTGAAGCATGAACGGATTGATGAAATTTTAATGTTTTCTGTTATAATTAATTGACCAACTTTGTAACGAAGGACAACCTGACTAGTTGACAGATTGATCAATCGAAGCTCTCAAACTGATGCACTGACTGACTAACTGATTGAACAGCGAATTGAAGTACTGACTTCTTGTCTCTCCGACTAGCAGACCAACAGACAGGCCAGAAGAATATACTTCCTTTCACAAATATAGCTCAAATACTTTAAGCTCGCCGCCTTACGGCTTTCACTTTACGTATATCTTAGCACATAGTTTCGCATTATTTATCAGGTTATCTGGTGGATCAACTTACGAGCTGTTTTTGCAGACTGGCCGCATCGCCGCGCACCGGGCCCAGGCCTAAGCTGCTGAGCTCTGTATCCTTGCGAATGACCCACTCGGTTAGCTCTCGCAGCGACAGCAGCAAGGCGTTCCAGTGCTCCGAATTTGATTCCAGGCGATTTCTGTAAGCAGAAGAGGGTCAAAGTGCGAAGGTTAGCGGAGAATACATAAGCTTGATAATAATATTAAATTTAATTTGGCACTTTACAACACTGGCCAAGCAGCTGTGTTGATTACCAACGATGCCCAGCAACAGCCACAAAATGGCAGCGACAATTTGTCTGCTTCCGCCCGTCCGCCCGTCCGTCCGTCCGTCCGTCCATTTATTCGTCTGCCTGAGGGCGGGGCGTCTAATAAACCCTCCCGAGCTGCGCCCCCAGGCATGGCGACGACCCAAGTGGCTGTCGTCTATGCTAAATTTCAGCTCTCGCTGTAATTGTGAAATGCCATGACATTATATTTTCTGCTCCTTCTTCTTCTTCTTTGCTTTTCTTTTTTCTTGTCCATTTCTCGGGCATATTTTTTTGTCCCCGCTCGGGCATCTGAAAACTCTGCATCCGCTCCTCGCTCTGCAATAACAATAGCCCCGCTTTGTGCTTTGTCTGTTTATCTTTGGCGAAATTCCTCGGCTCGTTTTCTTGATTATTATTTTCGCCTGTTCCTCGCTTGTAATTAACGCAAGGCCCGGAACAGAGATCGCACCCGGGCAGCCATACATATGTCCTCAGCCGACTCCTGCCCACTCTCGCTTTTCGCCCATGCAAATAATAAAAGAAATAACTCGCCTCGGAAATATGCTTGGGAAATAAGATGTATTAAAATGCTCTTGGTTTGCTCATTTCGTTGTCTGCCTTCCCCGCTCTTTCGTCTGCAATCTGTAGAAGCACCGAAATGTATACCCACTTCATGTCACTCTCCATTTGACAATGTCTCGTCAGATTTCTTTGCCTCATTTCGACAGCTGCTGGCGTTGACTTTAACCGGGGCAAGGCAATGGGAAGTGAATTCAAGTGAATTTTAAATGCTCTCTAGATTCAGGTTCTGTGCCTAGCAACATTCAAGCGAATTTAATTACGCAGCAATGGTTTAAAGAAGCCTCAAGTATTACACCTCATGTCCCATAGCTCTGCTCTCATCTCTCTCTGCGTATTCATAAAGGGCTGCCTGACAAGCGAATAAATATTGCGATTTTGCACAACTGTCAGTGCTTAATACATTGATTGAGCATTGCAATACTTTAGCAAATCCATCATTTAAGCTAGCTGGGGGCGTGGCTGGCTGGGCATGGCATTTGTGTATCAACCCTCGTCATGGCGACATAGCAACTGCCAGCCGTGTTGTCTGTCCCAAATGTAATTTAAGACAATCCTCCACACGGCACACTGAGCAGCCACATGTGGGCACTCCATACATCAAGTGGGTTCATCAATCTTCGCGCAACTCAAGCGCCGACGACGACGACAGCCTGCAGTTGAGACACCTGTAGATGCCACAAAAACCAAGTTGAAAGTAAAAAGTTTTGACAGCCCAATAGAAGCTCAAAGCCCGAAACTATGCACACAAATGACCCAGAGCGAGCGAGTGGCCGCGGCTAATACAAACAAGAAACTAAAACTTTTCAAGTGCCAGTCAAGTTCCAAATATTTCACTGGAATTTATAAGCCAGCAAATCTTTGGCGCAGCAGGGCAAACAACAAGCGCAGCCAAGGCAAACAGCACAAGGGGTGCCCCAGGAAACGGCAAAGCAAATGCTGCTGGCCAAACAACAACAACAACAGCAAGCGTATCGGAAGTGGAAGTGGAGAGCTGAAAGTGGCCAAACTTGGCTAACGGAAATATGCCAAAACGCCAACAATGAACGTAAATAGAAGGCATCTCGAAACTCTGACAAAGAATAATCGTCAGAGCTTGGTCAACAAAAGGCAATGCCAGGCCGCACACACAATGCCCAACGGGGGCTGCTCTCAGCTGATGGGCGTGGCCAGCGCACACTTAAGGTGTCATTCATTGGCTGTTATGCTGTTATTCTGTTTTTGGCTGCCTTAATTGAAAAACGCTCCAAAGGGAGCCTCAAATATGGCTGCCTCTGCCACAGCGCGCATACGCACCGTTGTACGGCGCTGTCCCTCGACCCTCGACCCTCGACTCTCGACTTTATATTCATATTGCGTTCGCCGCGTTTCTCGTGTCACCATCATTATTCATTTTAAGCCATCAGCGCCAACTATCTGTGTGAACGAGTAAACAGAAGCGCGCCGTTCGCCTGACTTTCGATCAAGTCAGCCGCGGCATCAGTCCGTGGCCCGGCATCAATATCAGCAAGCGGACAATATTTGTAAACGCTGGCGTGCTTTATTTATGAAATGCGGAAATTACAAATACAGCCACACGGCCAGCCGCGGACAAGGACCTGCTGAACCCGCGTCCTGCACTGGATAGCATCATATTGCCACTCGGGCAGCTGTCAACGCCCATCATGGATTGGCCACATCAACGGCGCGTGCGGAGCGACACAGTGTTCTCTGTGTCCGTGTCACTTTTGCCGGTTCCGGGACTTTTGCACGCATTTTGTTGTTCATGTTCTTCTTCTTTTTTATTTATTTTTTTTTATTGATTTTCAAGCTCTCTTTTATGGGCGTAGCTCTTACATCTGACCGCGCGTAAACTGACGTCGCCCGGCCTTGATGGCCGGCCCTGGCTCGTTTGACTGGCTTGTTTGTACGGTTATTTTCGCATTTTCATCAACACAAAGTCTTTGAGTCCAGCATCCCGTTGTCTGTGGCGCTGCAAATGGCACACAACATGCCTTTAATGTGGTTTAATTAATGCGTCAGCCCGTGTTCACGATACTCGGCCACGCTCACTCACCCTAGACAAGCGAATTAATTGCTGATGCTAAGAACTGAGATTCCATGCTGGAATATTGCAATAGGAAGTGCTTAGAATTCTCATTTTACACTCGTGCCCGAGAGCTAGAGTTATGTAATACCAATGGGTAAGGATTAATAATAGGAGGTGAAATGGAAATCGAAAACCGATTTTTTAGCCATGTTGAGTCGAGTAATCAAAGCTTCTCTAAACCTCAAATTTACTTTAAGTGTTTAGCACTCATATACCTAAAGGCAACAGCATATATTTTATTCCTTATAGTCTATAGTCTACCCTTTATAAAGTAAGGCTTAAGTTCTTTGGGAAGCTGAAAGAGCACATATGTATTTTTTAGCTAAAAAAAAAAAAAAACATTCATTTTTAATCTGACGCAGAAATCCGTTAATAATTTGTCGAATCCAATATGAAATAAAATTCCGATTCTTGGTGAAACGAAAAAGAAGAATATATCAAATAATTTCTGCATATTTATCAGATCCTTTACAAGGACTCAAGACTGTATATTAAATATAATTGTTAATATATATATATTTGCATAAAGAAGCTAGTTAAAGATTTTTGCATTAGATTGTGAATGTTTCTCAAAATGTTTTTATACAATATCTAAATAACTCTGTCATGCTTTACAGAACTTAATTCCCTTTGAAGCACCTTTCGTTAAATCTTCTACTTCTTGTATTTTCTCTCGTCGTTCGGGGAAATCATATCAAGCCAACAATGGACTTAGGTACCCTACTCCACTCGCTCTCTCTCTCTCATTCAACAACAACCGCAGCTTCCTTGAGCTATAGCCACCTACACTTTTCTATCTGGCTGAGAGAATTAAAGCATGCAGATTAGAGATGCGTGCAGCTGAAACGCAAACTCATTCAGCTAATAAAAGCTGACAGCCTCTCTCAGCCATACTATGGCAACAGCGGGAGGCAAACACAGCATTACAGCCAAAGGCTTTGCTATTAATTTCTTATTATATTGTACATATATTACATATATGTATATTATTTGTATATATTTTATTTATATATTATTTGTATGTGTTTATATAAATTATTTACACATACATATGTTTTATTATAACTTTAATAAATGTTTCATCATGATGTTCATTCCATATATTTACGCATTCATCGAAGGCCTATTGGCCTAGTTATTCAGAGCTCAGAGAGTTCCCTGAACAGATGTGAGTTTGCTTAGTCGCAAACAAAAGTAAATAAAAAATATATATATGTATACCGTTATCGGCTAGAGCTCGACTAGCGAACATCATTATTATAAAGCAATACAAACACAAGGCAACACTCAGAGGGCCAGAAACAAATATACATATGTATGTATGTAGAAAAGGAGAAAGTTGGGGGCCAAAAGCACTTACCTGATTGCAATACTTTTCGATTTTAAATTATTCCAGCGTTGATTCATTTCATCCAAGCGGCGCTGCAGCATAACGGCATCCTCTTGCGAGGTGAGCGAACCCAAAAGTTTGCGGCCGGTGCCATCGAGACGATCGTAAACAACGCGATGGGTTTCAATTTCCGATTGCAGATCCTGCAAAAGTTGTAAAGTTCAAAGCCTGAATGAGTGAGTGTGCAAAAAGTAACCAAAAAAAAAAAACCGAGTTGTGTGGGAAATGCTAATAAATTAGTATATGTGAAATTTATTCAAAACTCAGCCAACGCACGGGCAGCTGCAAGGAAATTGAATTTCAATTTCTATACAAATTTTCCGTTTATGCTAGCCCCACACCTTCCCGCCTATAATTGCGAGCATATGTGTGTGCGTGTGTGTGTGTGTGTGTGGGTGTGCTTTATGTACCCAAAAGCCGTGATATGCAAAATGGCTGCAAACATTTTTAGACAAAGCCAGCGGCACTGCAAGCGACCCGGGCAGCGGATTAAAAGCCAGCCATTTAGCACAACAAGCAGGCCATGAAATTGCCGAGCAGGCCATCAATAAGCCCGCACATACCTCTGGGCCATTCCGGGCGCCATTGTGTCCGACATGCGCTCCACGACTCGCTCACCTTGCCCCACCTGCCACCTACAACCTGCCACCTGGACACTTTTGAACATGAGTGATAAGTTTTTAAGCGCCTCGCTACCCGTGTCCCGTGTCCCATGTCCCGTGTTCCGTGTTCCGTGTTCCGTATACCGTATTTCGTATCCGGTGCCTCGACTCGCTTTGCAATTATTAACCGCATGTGACCTCCGACCCCTAAAGCCACATAGCTCCACAGTCACCCACCCACAACCAACAACAACAACCACCTGACTAGATTTCAAGCTGCGGTGCGTCTCAGTTTTTAGCTGTCGCTGGCATCTGTGCGCTGTGGCAGGTGTTTTATTTGTCAACCCGCCTGGCAAAGGCTTAAAAATGTTTTGCTCCTCGCCTTGGCTCGGACCCAAACAACATACAAAAATGTACCCAGTTATTCGCTGTGGTTTTGTTGGTTAAGTCACCCACAAAGTCCACACACACACAGGCACATATACACATGCATATATATATGTAGGTATATGTATTTCTATATATTTAAACAAATATACACACATTGTATGTGGGGTCTTGTGAGTTTTTAGGGCCGGTTTTATGGGGCTTTAACTTTGATGTGGCCAAGTTCATGCGGTTCACACAGCACATTTTAGTTCCCGGGATAGCTTATGTGAACTCAGGTCTTCAGTCGCCCACTGAATAAATGAAGTTGGCCAGCCCGAGAGCCCATTTTTCGCAAATTCAATTAACAGGCAACAATAAGCGTTTATGCATAATAATTTCAGATGGACTTGTCTATACAGAGAACGAGTGAGAGAGAGAGAGAGAGACAGGAAGACATTTAATACCATTTATCCATTATGATTCGTTAACAGCTAGTCCCTGGCTTATACTTCAATCAAACTCAAGTCGAAATGTTGCCAAGGCTGTTCTCATTTATTTGGAAATTCTCGCATGGATTTACAATGAATTTTGCTGTTTATTTGCAGCTTTTTAATCCCAGAATCCTTCACAGTTGACGTCGCCTGTCGCGGGCGCATTGCCAGGCAGCTGGTTTCGCTAATTGAATCAATCAATCAATCACACACAACGTGCCAAATAAACTAATTAAAAGTGGAATTAGTGGCACATACGAGCAGACATAAAAATAGCAGCGCAGGAAACGGCTTCTAAAATAATGCCTGCTTAAATACATATATATGTGTGTGTGTGCGTGTGTCACTGTACTGTGGGTGTGTGCGAGTGTGGAAGTGTGTTTGCTAATTAAACCTTCATTAGGGCGCCAATGGCTTTTGTTGCATGTAAACAATAGAAAAAAATTAGTAGGAAGGCAAGAAATAAATAAAGCCAAGCAGTCAAAGGGCGTTGAATTCCAACGACGTTTTCACTCGGCTGCTGTGCGAAACGAGGCAACAATTAATTTGGCTTATGCATGTCACACACACACACACACGCACACGCACACACACACAAGCCGTGCGATTCAATTAATGCGCAAAAATTGTTTATACACCAATAGAGCGGAAATGAGCGATGCCAAGGGATGGGGCTGTTCCAGCGAAAAAATAGAGAAGAAAATAAATAAAAATACAAAGCAGTTTTAATGAGCAGCCCAGCTCGCGTGTGTGTGTCAGCAGGAGGCGTGGCATACATGAGCCGAAGCCGATTAAATCAATAAAAAGGAACAACTGCCAACGGCACGGCGTCTCCACTAATAACAGCAATTTGTCCCGTTGCATTCGGTCATTACTACGTTGTCCAAGCAGCACACTTCCCTCTCCCCCATCGCACCGCCAGCCCCGTAAACTGACTCAACTAATTTCCGTGACGAAAGCTCGCAATTTGCGACTCTGACTCTCCATCAAGGCTGGAAGCCGTGAAGCTTTTTAAATCCGACTTTGCGGCAGACTTTGGCGACTCCCGCAAAGACTCATAAATGCAGGTATTATCAGCATTAAGCTGGGGTATTTTTGTGCATGTGTGTGTGTGGGTGCATGCATGAGCAAGTATTGTGCATGAGTTGTGAAGGAAGGCAGCTTAGCTCACGCTTTGTTGCCTCATTTTTTACATTTCCGCTGTGCAAGTGTTTGAGTATGTGTCAGTATGTGTGTGTGTGTGTGTGTGTGTGTGTGTGTGTTTGTGTGTGTGTGAGAGTATGTGTATGCAGTGCATTTTGCAGTTTTAAGCCCCAATTAAGTAAATGCCAAGCGTACGCTCGCCCGCCCTCTGTCTCTCTCTCTCCCTCTCTCCCTCTCACACACAATGGTGTGAGCCATAAAGCAAGACGTGATTTAAATGCCAAGCGAACGTGGCCCAACGCCTACTTCTGGACGCATGCGGCTTAGTTGCTATTAACTACGATTGCTTTTCAGCCAGCCGACATTTTTTTAAATTTTTTTAATAATCACTCGGAAAAATAAATGTTGAGCCAGTGCGCTCAGCTTAAAGCTGTGACAGCTCGAATTTAGTTATTAAATTATGCTATTGTTGTGCAGCTGCATAGCTGCTGGCAGCAAAGCACTCTTCAATCGCACACACAGTGCGTATGATAAATTTTCGATTAAGTCGGGCACAAAATAAACACGACACTGTGCCACTGAAAACTCATATGCTCGCCTGCTCGTCTGCAACGTCAGCATGAATTTGAAATCAAATTTTTGAAAAGAGCCAGAGCCAGAGCCAGAGATACCTGCGGCTGCTTTTTTCCTCATAAATAATAGCTGCAGCCATCAAGGCAACAACAACAACAAGTTGAGGAAGCCAAGCTAAATATCAAGAGACAGCAGCCGACCTTACAAATAAAATGGAAATGCGTTTATAACGCGCTCATAAATATATTAGGGGCACATAATAAACACATCACCAAGTGCTGTCGACTGAAGCAGTGACGAATGTTTAACAAGACTGCCCAGACACGCCCACACCCACACACACACACACACACACACACCACCCCAATGGCAGCTGCTTGGCTGTCAACAGGGCCCAGGCGGCGAGCCGTCAAGTGGATCTCACTCGAGGCGACTGTGAGCCACTGCCACGCCCCACTGCCGACCCCCCAAAACAAGTGAAAACGGAAACGACAACAAAATTTAAAAAAAGGCCTCGATGAGAACTCACTCATTCGCCCACGACTACCCCTGCCCCTCTTGTAAACATGCTGATGGAGCGTTTTACATAATTCACATGGCCCACTGTTCGGATGCGTGTAAATCCTTTATGGCAACTTTAGCCGGCTGTGGCAACAACCGCATGCTGGAAGCTGGCAAACTGAAATTTGATTTGCACCGAACGACACAAAATGTGCTCAGCTTGTTTGCTCAACGCTTATTTCAGCTTATTTGATTATGTTTACCTCAGGTGTTGCCTTTATTTGCCTGAGCAACGTGAGCGTAAATATTATCTACCTGACTGAGCTCTCTCTCTCCTCTCTCTCTCTCTCACACTCTCTCTATCTCTTGGAGCCGCTGAGCACTGTGTGGAATGTCAAATGAATTCAAAATGAAATTTCACGCAATCCGTTGTGAATTTATTGATTCAGCCTCAGTCTGTTTACTCGGCGCATTAAATACGGCCAGGCAGCACTTAAAGCGTCCAGAGCAGAAGCGAATGTGTGCAAAGTCCTTTCGGTTTCTTGATTTCCTGGCAAAGATTTGTTTGTTCCACTGCCATAAGAATATTTTCTGATAATAGTAAACTATTGTTTTATTGCCGGGATTTTCCTGAATGCTTGTTAGCAGGAAGAATTATTTTTCATTGATAAATAAATATTTTACGATGCAGCCAAGAAAAACTTGACTGCAATGAGAGCGTGAGCCACTGCAGAAGCTAAGGAAAACAGAGGACAGTGCTTGACTTTTTATTACCTTAAAGGAACATCTCCATCTCTATATAGAATGGACTCTTAACTAATGAACTTTAATTTCAATCGCAAGCATAGGTATAAAAGTCAGTTGGCATCAGCTGCAGTTGCTAGAAGAACAAAAAGCAATACAAAACGTTTCACAGAGACAAAACAGCTCGAAAATGAAAGAAACTATAAACTCCAATTTATCTGTATGTCATATAAGCTTGGCTGCACTCGTCCTTGACTTATCTGCAAACTTTACGCTGCACTGAGCAAAGGCAGCACACAGCACTGACTCTGTGAATTAGCTACGTTTAGCAGGTGGTTCGATGGCAACAAAAAGCCAATGACAAAGCCAGAGACAGAGCCAGAGACAGAGCCAAATCCAAATCATTGAAGCGCTTCGCAGTATCAGCTGTGCAGCAGTGAAGCAAGCAGATCTGATGGAAAACTCAGTTGACGCACGTTGGGGGCTTCGCTCAGTTGGCTAATTCCTTTTCCTTTATGGCTAACGAAGCTGGCTCATAAAGAGGCCGGACGAAGAGTCGCATCATAGTTTCCTACACCACAGGGACCCGGGCTGTGCGCCACTCAGCGCACTGCCGGCACTCGGTTTGCTTTGGCTTCGTTTCGTTCGCTCCGTAGGTGGCTCAAGTTTACGGCTTGGGCTTGGGCACTCTCGTTCCCTCTCTGGTTCCCTTGCCTGTCA